TGTTACAGTTATGTAAATTGAGTAATTTGTATACCGGAAATATATCACAAGTTCTCACATTAGACCTCATGTGGTATCCCCACTTTAAAAAAAATCTAGCCCTTTTCTGTATTCGTAACTTAAAAGAATTATACAAAAAAATTTTAATGAATGAAAAATTGTTATCGTTATTGTCATAAATGTGATTTATTGAGGCCTTGTTACCTAAATTTATTAAATTCGCGCTATCAAAATGTATATATATATGTGTGTACAATTTGGTTCTCATTTGGAAGATCACATGAGTTTTTTAAATTCACTCGAATTAATTTCGTGTAAAAATTGTAGAGATGAAACTTAAAGACGACAGTTTCAAAGGTCAATATATTCTTTTAATGATTTTCTTGGCGGCATTTAAACGTGTGATAATTAATGCTTAATTATCAAATTTTGCAGTAAACATGTGCGTTTTATATTAAAAATGATTAACCTAACAATATTCGTATTAGCATTTGAACTTGATTGTGTACTACCTTTAATATATTTAGGGGATTTCATTCGTAGAATCAAAAATATATTAGCTTTGGCTATCAAACGAAACAATTAATTGGTCGTAGCGGTAGATCACGATGCATGCATGACTTTAATTACCGATTACGTAGTACTTGTACAAAATTTATCTGGCGTTTTAAAAACAAATTAATTTCTTTGTAATATTATTTTCGTTCCTTGAGCACTTACAAGGAATTGGATCTTAAAGTGAGAAAAAAATAGCCTTTAGGAAGATGATTGATTCTGCTTGAAAAAAAAATATAAATAAATGACGGGATTGAATTAAGGAGAAATGTGATACTGCCTCGAAAGTATGTGTTTATTAGGATTTTGTTAATTATATAAATAAATATTTTGATGGAGAATTTGAATTTATTATTAATCTTAATTATAATTATTATTATTAATTATATTATTATTATTATATTATTATTATTATTATTATTATTATAATTGTTATTATTGTTTTGTTATTGAATTAATTCTCGGATTCGACCTTACAGTCATGTTACTCTTCGGAAATATATATTCTGTGTAATAATCATAGATAAGTAAGTCAAGCGTAAAGAATAAAAATTTCATACACTTACGAACTTGAATTCGAGATATCGATATTTATTATCGCGCGATAAAGTTTCCTTTACCTATATTCAGTGATATAGATTACTATAAAAGTGTTATATGATATAAATGTCTTATTCGCCGACTAGAATCTAAATTGGGATAAATGCGGTACATTATTGTCCGATAATGAACATTGTTTTGTATCGACATAAAGTTTGTTACAACGATCTTGATTCTATAACATAAAACGTTTTATGAAACACATTTTGCAAGCAATTTCCGATAAAAACAAAAAGACCCGGAGAAGCTTCCGATCCTGAAACTTATATCTTAATTATATATATATATTTATACATTTTGTAATAGATTATTATATGCACTAAGCGCTTAAAAAGTACTTTTACTTACCATTACTTTGTCTTTGCTTTTGCTTTGCTTACGCTGTGGTCCGTCAGGTTTAATATACCTGCAAATGCAACAAATCTAATAAAAGACGCTGTCTAAAAAAGGAAACGAATTTAATAGTTTCGTTTATAATGTCTTCTTAAAGTTCTTAATCTGACTTCCCGATAAAAGAGAAAAAAAAATCATTTTCCACTCCGGTTGGATTCTTCCTCCGTACCTTTTTACCCTAATGTTGCGAGCCCTTCAATAGCAATATTAGATAATAAAATTTTTCATTCCTTTTTTTTATTCCTCAAATATCTCCATCCATCCACCGAGGGTTGGTATTCGTGCTCGTATTCATCACATACATATTCTTTACAAACAACGGCAGGTCCTTTGATCTTTTCTCTTTTTTAAAGGAAATAATAATAGTGTTATCTCTTTTTCAACTTTTATGATCAAATAAAAGGCGGGTTAATAAATGGATTTTAGTCTTATATATCATTCCATTCATGTCTTCTCTCTTCCTTTAACATTTATTCTCATGATGGTATACAAAGATCATAAAAATCATCCTACAATAGCATGTTATTCAGGATCATTATTTCTAACATCACTAGCATCAAGTTTAATAGGCTTTATCCGATTAATTCAAAACTCAAAATCTGAACAAAGTATCATTTGCAGCCTTCAGGGTGTTTTAATTATTTATGTTACGCTTGCCTCTGATATATGGCCCGTTTGTATCGCTTTTAATGTTTGGGTTCAATTTAATTCTAATAGTTTACAAGGGAGGGATAGATGGTCCATTAGGATGTTATTGTTTGTTTATGCAATAATAAGTTGGGGTGTGCCTGTGTTCTTAACTTTCGCAGCTTCTATAAAATCTATTATGAATGGAGATATGATTTCTTGGCCCAATTACTGTTTTCCTACTCCGTCTGGAATGTAAGCATTTTATTTTTTTTGTTTGTATTGGTTATGTGCTGTGCCTCCCGATTAATAATCATCTGCTTGACTTAACTTCATTGTAATAATTTCAATAGTCACACAGCTATCTTTTTAATATGTGTAGCGGCCATGACCACAACTTTAGCATTCTCAGGTAAATCTTTTATATTCAAATTCTTGAGTATATTTAGGAGTGAAATACATTACCTTTAATATTAAACATTATGTCATACGATATCTTATAGTTAGGAATGTTATATTAACAATTAAATACGACACTGGTCAATTAGGCGATAGTCTTGTGATTGTAAATAATTCGTTGAATAAAAGAATAGCCCTATTTGGGATCACGATTACGGCGCCTTTTTTTATCATTTTTAGTGAGTTTCTATTATATTGTATCGTGCTAATTAAATATCTATGCGTTACTGATAATGATTTCTAATTATTATTTTTATTTCTAGTTGCTAGTATTATATCTTTTCTTATCGAGAACCGTATTAATTTCGTTTGGGTTATTTGTGCCGACTTTGCGATGTCTGCAACACCGTGGATCACATTCGGTATACGTTAGATAATTTACTCATTCTTTGCCTACTAGATTGTCTTACTCATTTCAATTTTGTAGTATTCTTTGGAACCACATCCGAGGCAGTTCGTAAATATTTGCCAAGATTTTGTTTTTCGTATAAAGACAATGACAAGATACCCGTGAGGCCTTCAATGATAGATCGAAAAAGTATAAACACTTCATCTTTTCTATCACATGAACCTTCTCTGGATGATTCGACTGTGGTAACCGAAGAAAAAGGTTCTCCACAAACTCCTCAACATAACTTTGCAATGCCAGGTGGCAGTAGTGTGTCGACGTTTAGCCAACGCGTGGATCCGAATTCACCTGATCCATTTAGTCATCGTAAAAATCCTTCTTTGACAATTAAGATTGATCCTATCAGACCTGCAGATGATTCAAAGATGGCTAATTCTAGGGTTTCACGTGTTCGAAAAGGCAAAGAAAGAGCAACTGCTATAAAGAAATCTTTTTTGTATAAAACTTATGCGGATGGCTCAAACGATGATTATGGATCCAAGAATCAAGATTCTTCTAAAAATAAGAAAGTTGATGTGTCGCGTGGAAAATCCTCGGCTTTCCACGAAACAGCAATGCCAAATCGTAGATCTCCACGTCAAACACGACATACTATTACCGAAGGTAATTGCATGAATGATGACTCTTGATAAGTTACTACCAATATGTGTAGAACCTCGAACAATACTAAAAAAAGATTATATGTGAAAGTGGCTAAAATTTTTTTTAAAAAAACTAAATCTGATTGGTTAAAATTTTTTTTTAACAATCAAAACTTAAGTGGATAATGCACAATATAACCTCTGTTAGTATTATTTGGGGTCCCATATTTGTATTCCCATTTTCTGATGTATTTTTTTCATCAAATTACAGGAAGCAAGATCCAATCACGTGATATTATGAATGAACCAGTCAGATTTCTCTTGAAACAATTTTCGTTCGAAAAACGTCATAAATCCGAATCTATAATTAAAATTCCACTCGAGTTTGGTATAAAAACTTATTCACATCATAGTTTGCTCTCAATTCCATCACTAAATAAAGTAACAGATAATAAAACAACAGATAATCATGTGGAAAATGTAATGTCATCATCGTCTACATCACAAATAGTAGTGACGGATGATTCACAAAACATAATGCCCTTGCCACAATCGTTATCCTCATTAATACCACAAACAGGATTATCAGCACCTCCGCGTAAATCGTCCAAAGAGTCTATGAAGAAACAAACAATAAATTATCCACCAAATTTCTACCTCACTGTAAATAACGGTTCTTTGTCAACAAATGCGACTTTTGGATCACAAATAACTCCAAACTCAATGGTGACAGGCATTGTTAATTCCTCCCTTGATCAAAATCTTTTTGCAGAAAGTAGTAATAATCTTTCATTTCGGTCACCGTCGTTAAAATTACCATCGACGCCTTCATTTGGCACAATGGCAGTACATTCAACACAAAGAACAAATACACAATCATCGTCAAGTTCAAAATCCTCAAAAACATCATCCAATAATCGAAGTAGTGCTGGTACCACAAGGTCTTCTAATGGATTTACTTTAACGCCAAGAGGCAGTTATCCTTTTAATACTACGCGACCTGTAACCAATAACGACAACGGATCATCATCACTTGCTTTTGATGATGAGAATGAAGAGAGGATGGGAGAACTTAGACGAATTGTAGAAGAATTTAACCAATCTTCATTCAAAACACAAGATTCATCATTGTGATAAAATGCCAAGACCTTTGTTATAAAATCTTCTTTTTTAATATATTGATCTTTTAGTATATGTCGTCTTGAACGGATGGATACAATAATACCTGAACAATTTGAACAATTGATTTACATGATATATACAGTATAGACTCATGTGTTCTTTAGAAAATTACAGGATATTTAGTACACCAATTTTTTGGCCTTATTTTTTTTTTATTATTAATTTTTATGTAAATTATTTTGCTAGACTCGTAATCGTTTTTATTATTATTGATAATAGACTTATTGATAATGATAATTTGTATTTTACAATTGCTCTTATTTTTGTATATTTATTTGGTATATACTGTATTTATAGGAAAACCCATTTTTCTAGCAACAAAATGTTTGATATTTTTCATAATGGCCAAATTTGATGTAATTTATATACCAAACTTAATTTGTAATCTATATAATTTGGATTAGATCATAAGATTGTAGACAGACTCTTATGTAATAAAAGCATAGTTAAAATCCATCTAATTTGCAATATACAAAATTAGGGCTGGACTGGTCTTGCATTGGCAAGTATTGGATACTAACATAGACTTTTGTTTTGGCCTGGTTTCAAAAAATTCAGGTGCGTAATCGAACTAGGCTTAGAAGATTTTGAAAAGCTCGGATTTTAAGCTGATTGACCGAAATTATAGAATTATTGTTATTGTTGTCCTTTTCGTCCTGCTAATTGGTGTCAAAATTATAAACCAAAACTTAATTTTATAAATAAAATTTTTTACAGTAATGTTATCGTTATCTATTGTATATAATAAAATATATATTGATCATAAACCAAACTATTTGACAATTTTGAATAAACTAATTTGATCGATTAACTAGCAAATTTTTTTGGGAATATAACTAGTAATTTGACCAGCTCTGATATTAAAATACAGTCAGGCGCCCCTAAATATAGCACCTCTCTAAGGCTAGCCCCACAATGGGACTTCTAGATAAATGCACGTTCTTTATTCTGTAAGTGCACGCTAATTGTTTGGCCCATTTATAAAAATTCCTCCATAAATGCATCCACGTGATTAATAGCCAATCAAATTTATTATTTCCATACTAATTAGCAGTGTATAAAATTCAAATTTAAATTAATGTTCTCAAAAGTGCTTAATTTAAATTTTTAATGATCTTAAAACATTTTTAATGTTCATTATAGTGCTTCTAAAGGGCTAAAGGGTTGTAATAATTCTGATAACCCAAATTAAAATCCAACCCCAAGACTCTATGCCTACTATAATTATTGTAGTATTAATTTCCGGAGCAGAGCGGAGGGACTTAAGTCCAGACATTAATGAGAGAATATGGGTTCCGTGTGGATACCAGGGGTGTGCAAAATAAGATAAAAGTTTTTTGCAAAACTCAAATGTTCAGCAAACAAATATCAGTTATTTTAGCGGTATATGAACATCATAAATTTAATTTAACGTTAAGTTTTTTGAGTTATAAGCATATGACGTATTATAAATTTAATTTGGTGGTATATGGTACATTGCGGCGAATTTATGAAATACCCCAAATTTTGAAAATTTTGACTACCGATAGTGAGTCAATTTATTTGACTT